GCCTCCTTTTCCTGCGCCATCCTTGAAGGGGAGGGAGAGAAGGGGAGCGCAAGTAAACACACTCAGACACCGACATCCGGGAGCCGGCGCCTGCAGCGCAGCCTCGCTCTCCCCCGCTGGATGTCAGCGTGTTTTTGTTCAAAGGGGAAGAGCGGGCGCGCCTGCACTTGAGCTGGAGAGACAGCTCAGGAGAGGCCTTCTCCGTTCCCGCGTGAGGCCCGGGGTGTGTACGCGAGGGGGGGCCAGTGAAAACAGGTTCATTCTGTCAGCCTTAGGGATCAGAGTGTGCGCACATAGTGGCGGGGGCAGGTGCTGAAGAACTGCTGGAGTGAGCCCCGGGGGCGCGCGCGCAGGTTCCGCGTCTGCTTCGTAATTGCAGCCCTTTTGCCTACATCCTTCTGATCTGGACCCTACAGAGCACGGGGGAAGGGGAGGGTACCAGCCAGTCACTTTTAAGTAGCCAGGAAATCTTGATTTTCCCCGCCGTCCCTCTCCTGTTTGTCTTTAGGGCTTCTGGGCTATGGACCAAACTCCAGGTTCCCAAGAAGGGGTGGGCTGGGGAGAAGGGAGGGGAGGCCTAAGCCCAAAGCTAGTCCTTTTAGAGGGACAGGGAGTACATCCAGCAATCTACTTTGCCCCAGACCTCAGGAGTGCAGAAAAACTCTTTGAACTTGGACCAGTCTACCCAGGACTCCCCAACAGTGGAAAAGACTGTGGTTTTTTTTTTTTTCCTCTAGCTTCTCTTGGAGCTGTTGGTCTTTTGGCTTTTTACCTTCTACTAGCCGAGGGATGTACCATCGAAGTATTTCCTATTCTGTTTTTTATGGCAAACTGGCCTGTGGTAAGATAGGCTGGCCAATGTGGGAGTCCTCCTGGGTAACCTGCTGGTGAGGGCTGGATGCTTACCTGTGCCTCCCAGCCTATCCCAGAGTGGAGAAGGAGGAGCCCCAAAGTCAGGGTGTTCGCTCTGTGGAGGGGAGTTTCTTTTGGGAAGGGGTGCAGAACATGGAATCCTTAGGGCTGCAGGCAGACAGGCCCTCAGGGTAAGTTGTGGTGTATTTTGCTATTGAGCATGGGCACACAGATGGGGCAGCCATTTCCTTTGTGAGCTGTGAGTCTTTGGAACCATGGGGAGTAAAGGGGGGTGGGAATCTGGGAAGGACCCTTTGAGGTGGGAGCTTGAGTGGGCTTTGGGCCCTGAACTCCTTGTGAGTAGGAGTTAGCACTAAGAGAATGAGCGTATGGTGGAGGTGAGGGCCCACAAGCTAAGAGATCAGTGCCGTTTAGTAGCTCTCTGGGAGCAAAGGGCATTTTGGTATTATCTTGTAGTAGGGCTGGTGTTCAAGCGGGCAGTAAAGTGGCTGGGAGGCAATCTCAAGGGAGCTGGCAGGCTGCAACTCAGACCCTCTGGCCTTTGGCCTGTCCTTTGGTCTACTGCAAAGAAAGCTTTTTCAGGACAGACCCCAGAGCTCAGGAACCTGACCCTCTGGTCCTCCTCCTTGCTTCTGAGCAGGTGGTTTGCATTAGTTTCAGCCCTGGTAGGAAACCATGGCTAGGCTTTAACTCTTTAAGATCCGGAGAGAGTGCAGGCCAGGTGGCTGTGTGTCTTGAGAAAGTTGCTTTCCTTGTCCTGCTTATTGTTAAGTGTGGGGGTCAGTCCTGTTGTTGGGGACTACATTATGTCAGCTTGGGAAATGTCAAGACGATGCAAGGCCTCAAGTTTATAAGCAGCTGCTTCTGTGTGTTGGTTCCTTCTGCAGACCAGGGAACCAATAGGGTGCCTTGTCAACCCTGTAAAACCTCTGTTTGGGTTCTGGGGCGTTTCTTTCTTCAAGAACCAGGTAGGTGGGAGCTCTGAAGCTGCCCTCAGAGGGCCTGGCCTACACTCTGGGGCTTTGTTTCCTTGGTGTTAGCGTTTGTGGGGGTGCCTGATCAAGTTGGGATGATCTTAGCAGATCCTTCTGTGCAGTGGTTCTGGGCTACAATTGCAGATTTTGTTCTTTTTATCTTATTTCACAGGCAGAGTGGACAGTGAGAGAGAGACAGAGAGGAAGGTCTTCCTTTTTGCTGTTGGTTCACCCTCCAATGGCTGCCGCGACCGGCGCGCTGCGGCCAGCGAACCGCGCTGATCTGATGGCAGGAGCCAGGTGCTTCTCCTGGTCTCCCATGGGGTACAGGGCCCACGCACTTGGGCCATCCTCCACTGCACTCCCTGGCCACAGCAGAGAGCTGGCCTGGAAGAGGGGCAACCAGGACAGAATCCGGCGCCCTGACCGGGACTAGAACCCAGTGTGCCGGCGCTTCAAGGCGGAGGATTAGTCTATTGAGCCACAGCGCTGGCCAGGGGTTTCTTTTTCCATCACCATCACACAGCCTTCTGGGTGGGGCCTGCGGGAGGTGGGTAGGGGTGTTGGTGGATGGTGCTTTGGCTGGGAGCCCTCGGATTCCAAGGCCTGCTGAAAGGTCCAGTCCCAAAGCTGAGGATGAGTTGTGGCCCGGGCCTCAGTCATTCATATCCTTGGGGAAAGTGAATGGCTGGGCTGTCCGTCACCTCTTATCCTGGTGCCCTGGCTCCTTTGTGGGGCTTTGAGCTGACACGGTTCTTCAGAAGTTCCTAGTGTTGAGGATTGGATTCCTCCTGTTGTAGGGCTGGAGAGCACAGAAGAAGGCACCAGTCCTTGACACTCATTTTCTTGAGCAGTGGAGCACGTTGTAGACAGGTTCCCCTGGGAGGAATTAAAGCTTGTATGTTTTGCCTCAGAGATGGAGAAAAGAGGTTGGTTAAACCTCAGGTCATTTTTAGCAGCACAGCTGTGGAATCTCAGAGAGGGCAAGATGTAGGTTGCAAGTCCGATATCTGACAGAAGGGCGGGGCTTCGTCAAGAAGACTAGTTCTGCAGGCAGTAGCAGGGTAATGAGGGGAAGGTGATCTGAGCCTCGGTTCCCTCATTACTGAATAGCTCAGAGACATTTTTCTGTAAGAAGCCCCATGAGCATTTGGCCGGTGTAGCCTTCCCTCGGAGCTGCAGGCTGGCCAGCCACCAGCAGAGCCCACTGCAGTGCAGTAGCTGAGGCCCTATGTGCCTTCACCGTTGCCTGGCCCCAAGGGCTAAGCAGTCGGTGCCCACAGATAAGCCACACTTGGTGAAAATCACCCAAGTCAGAGAAACACATAGGCCCCTTAGCTTCTCTGCCCTCTTGAAAGCTCCCTTAACTATTTTGCTTGCTTTTACCAAAGCCCAGGTGGGTTGGCTTGTTTCCAAGATTGTGACATTGGTGTGACAGGTGGAATCATGGCAAGTTTTGCAGGTTCAGGAAGTGCTTAATTATGATTAGCATTTAGTTACATTTAGCATTTAGTTTTGTTTTCTTCCAATTAGTGCTTCATGTTTATTTAATTTACTCTTAAAGGCAGGGACCAGGTCATTCTCTCCCATTTTCCATACAGCTTCCAGCAGAGGATGAATGAATATAGGAACTGAGAAAATACTTTTTGGTTGGTTGGTAAGCAGAGTATACTTGGATAGGAAGGACCAAGAGATGAAAGGGATGAGTTAATTTCTCTTGAGCTCTCTATGGGCAAGAATGGTGTCTGTTTATCTCCCAACACCTTGCATACAAAAGGTGATTAGCAAATGTTGATTCCATAGAAACTGCACCTTGGAGATGCTATGAGGGAACTTGAAAAAGCTTGTGGAAATGGGGTGAGCATTGTGGCACAGGTTAAGAAGGTTGGAGCTGTGGGCCTCTTGGCTTCAGCCTGGCCCGCCCTTGGCTGTGGTGGGCATATGGGGGAGTGAACCAGCAGATGAATGATCCCTCTCTCTCTCACTCTTTGTCGTTTTGCCTTTTAAATAAATAAAAATAAATGTAAATAATGTTTGCCTGGATAAATTTAATTTTTTTAAAAGTCTGTGGAAAGTAGAAGTAAAATTCATTTATTTCGGTGCAGAAAATTTTTGAAATCCTTACGTAGGTTTTTCATAAATACACATTTTTAATTTTTCATAAGCTTTTTCAAGACTCCTCGTATGTGGGAAGATTTACAGGGTGTTTGATTCTCACTAATGTTGCTCCCACTGTAGTGAAGACAAACTGAGCATCTATGGCAGAAGGTGCACTTGGAGACTTGTGGGAATGGTAGGTGTTGGGGAATATTTAGTCATCAGGTCTGTGGTCTCTTGAGTAGGTTGTCACGCAGATGACAGATTCCCAATGGGAAAGTAAATTGAGGCGTAAGAATATCAGGACAAGTGCCTCTTTCCATAAATGCCGGTGGAATCTCCTCTAGAATTGTGCCTAACTTCATCCAGATGATACCTTGGTATGCCCAACTCCTCCCCTTGAACAATGTTGTCTTTGACTTTGCTGTGGAAGAGAGTTTGGAGAGGTTTCTCCAAGGACTTGATTGTTGTGTGGTAGAATTTGGGTACCTTCAAAAAGAGCCAGAAATCAACCACTCAGCAGTCAGCATTTACTGAATGCCTGCCAGTTGCCAGGCATTGTGCTGTTTGCCTTGAGTAACGCAGTAACCTGGATGGTGTATGTGGATCCCATTTTGTGGATGAAGAAATGGAGACTAAAAGAAGTTATGTTTCTTGTCCACACACACATGACTGTGGTCACACTGAATCACATTCATACTCAGGTCTATGTGAAAAACTGTTTTTGTTCCATGTTGAAGGACACCATGTCCCAAAGGCAGGATAGAAAGACAGCTTCGAATGTTGTATTTTCCATGGAACCAAAAGGTTGCATGAAGAGCTGTGGACAGTGAATTAAATGCTAGATTCTGTACTGTAAACTCTGGCAGAAGATTTACAATTTTCACGTGCACTTTAAGCTCTAAAAATTCCCGTGATGCCTTGGTGAATTGTGTGCCTAGTGAAGAGTGATTTATTTAAATGTTGAGAGCTGGTGAATGGAACCATCTCTCTTTGATTCCTTGATTATAGGCATCTGGTATGATTAACTGCTCTTCTTCCTCTCTTGGGTTCCAGGTGCATTGGAGTGACTGTCTGGTATCACCAAGATGACACTCCAAGCCCCCCGGGCGGCTGCGCTTCTCTCTTGGGTAAGGAGTCTTCTCTTTTGTCTACTGTACTTCTCCACAAGACCTGAGAAGGGTAACAGGGGGATTTTGGGGAGCCAGAACTATGTAAGGTCTTCTCATCTTCAGATCAAGTGAATACAGTTTGCCTTTGCCTTTGCCTTTTCCCTTTAAAAAAAATGCTGATTAAAAAAAAGTTTATTTAGGGGCCAGCATTGTGGCCAAGCAGGTTAAGCTGCCAGCCATGACACTGGCATCACATATGAGCACACCTGTGGAAGATCCCGATGTAATTCCAGGCTCCTGACTTCAGCCTGCCCAGCCCTGACCGTTCACTGCCATTTGGGGAGTGAACCAGCAGGTGGAACCAGCGGAGAGAAGATTTCTCTCTCTCTGATTCTCCCTCTCTCTGTAACTCTGTATTTCAACTAAATCTTAAAAAAAAAAAAAGTATTTATTTTCATTTGCTTGAAAGGGGGAGAGAGAGGAAGAGGGAGAGGGAGAGAGAGAGAAATACCTTCTATCCCATGATTGATTCCTCAAATGCCTACCTTAGCCAGGGCTGGATCAGACATTCCAGGAGGCTTCATGTGGGTCTCCCACATGGATAACAGGGACCCAATTACTTGACCCATCATTGCCTCCCAGGATGCATTAGCAGGAAGATGGATCAGAGGTAGAGTAGCCATGACTGAAACCAGCACTGCATTATGGGATGTGAGCATCCTAAGCAGTGGCTTAACCCATTGTGCCACTATGTCTACCCCCCGTTTATTTTTTTTAATCAATCTTTTTTTATTTATTTGAATGGCAAAAAGACACAGAGATTCTGTCAAGTCACTCCACGAGTGCCTGCAACTATGGCTGGGGCTGGGCCACACTGAAGCAAGAAACCAGGAACTGAGTCCAGGTCTCCCGCTTGGGTGGCAGGGACTCAAAAACAGTTGACCCATTGTCTTCTGTCTCCTAGGAGACAGCAGGAGGCTGGAAATGGGAGCAGGGTCATGACTCAAACCCAGGTACTCCAATATGGGATATGAGCATTACAATAAGTGTCCTAACTGCTGTGCCATACCTCAGCTAGTTTTGAACTTTATAAGTATCATTTCCAAAGATATTGTTGCTGATAGTGAACCGTGATTAGAAAGTGATTAGAGGGGCCGGCACCATGGTGCATTGGGTTAATCCTCCACCTGTGGCGCCGGCATCCCATATGGGCACCAGTTCTAGTCCCGGCTGCTCCTCTTCCAGTCCAGCTCTCTGCTGTGGCCTGGGAGGGCGGTGGAGGATGGCCCAAGTGCTTGGGCCCCTGCACCCGCATGGGAGACCAGGAAGAAGCACCTGGCTCCTGGCTTCGGATCAGCGCAGCGCTGGCTGTGGCGGCCATTTGGGGAGTGAACTCTACCTGTCAAATAAAAATAAAAATAGAAAGTGATTAGAAGAGGCTTCTGTGAGTTATGGCAAGGGTGGCCACAGGGAAACATGGAACTCTACTGTCTGTTCCCTCTGTACTTTTCTGACTACTGACTACAGGGTTGACATTGAACTTTAATGACCAGTGCATGCAAGGACTTTAGTCTTCAAAGGTCTTTGCTCACTGGGCAAGGTTCTCCTTATTCTGTGCTTCTATTGTCTTGCCTTCTTGATTATTTCACTAAGATCTTTCTGTGGGTCTTCCATGTATTTTCCCCTGGAGCCATTGTCAAATGAAAATATAATACTAAGCATTGAGTATGTAAAGTTACAGAGACGGAAGAGGCCATGGATGGAATGGAGTGAGGGATGCCCATGACTTGGAGTCAGAGGAATCACAGCTCTGGCTTGTGTGAACCAGGGCAAGGCAGCTAGCCTCTCAGCATCTCAGGTTTTTTGTTTTGCTTTAAGATTTTATTTATTTATTTATTTATTTATTTTAATTTGAAAGGCAGAGTTAGAGAGAGGGAGAGACAGAGAGAGAGAGAGAGAGTGAACAAGAGCATTCTTCCATCTGCTGGTTCACTCCCCAACTGGCCACAATAGCCAGGGCTGTGCCAGGCCTAATCCAGGAGCCAGGAGCTTCTTCCCATTCTCCCATGTGGGTACAGGGACCGAAGCACTTGGGCCATCTTCTGTTACTTTCCCAGGAGCATTAATAAGGAGCTGGATCAGAAGTGGAGCAGCTGGGTCTTATGGAGCACTGGTGCCTATGTGGGATGCTGGTATCACAGGTGGTGGTTTTACCTGCCATGCCACAATGCTGGCCCCACATCTTGGTTTTTCTTTTCTTAAAAAGATTTATTTACTTGAAAATCAGAGTTATACAGAGAGAGGCAGAGAGAAAGAGAGAGAGAGAGAGAGAGGTCTTCTATCCATTGGTTCACTCCCAGTTGGATGCAATGGCTGGAGCTGAGCTGGTCTGAAGCCAGGAGCCAGATGCAGGGGCCAAAGACTTGGGCCATCTTCCACTGCTTTTCCAGGCCACAGCAGAGAGCCGGATTGGAAATAGAGCAGCCTAGACTTGAACTGGCGCCCATATGGGATGCCGGCACTACAGGCGGCAGTTTTACCCTCTGTGCCACAGTGCCGGCCCCTACATCTTGTTTTGGAATAATGATAATATATATAATAAAATTTTATTGCTATAATGAGATAATATATGTAGAAAACATTGCACATGTGCACATACAACTGTTTGGCATAGGATCTCAATAAACAGTAGTTTTTGATACTTAAGTTGGCACAGGGTATTTTAGTGTTAATTCTGAGACCTGACTAATCAGGACCAAATGATGACTGAATTTTTTTTAAATTAGAGAATATTTTAAAGGAAATTATTTTTTAGAGAGATTTATTTATTTGAAAGGTAGAGAGTAACACAGAGAAGGAGAGGGAAAGAAGTCTTCCATCTGCTGATTTACTCCCCAAGTGGCCATGGCAACCAGGTCTGGGTCAGGCCAAAGCTAGGATCCCAGAGCTCAATCTGGGTCTCTCACATGGGTGTCAGGGGCCGAACTACTTGGACCCTGCTGCGTTTTCTTCCTTCTTTCCCTCCTTCCCTCCTTCCCTCCTTCCCTCCTTCCCTCCTTCCCTCCTTCCCTCCTTCCCTCCTTCCCTCCTTCCTTCCTTCCTTCCTTCCTTCCTTCCTTCCTTTTTTGACAGGCAGAGTGGACAGTGAGAGAGAGAGACAGAGAGAAAGGTCTTCCTTTTGCTGTTGGTTCACCCTCCAATGGCCGCCACGGCTGGCGCGCTGTGACCGGCGCATCGCGCTGATCTGGAGGCAGGAGCCAGGTGCTTTTCCTGGTCTCCCATGGGGTGCAGGGCCCAAGCACTTGGGCCATCCTCCACTGCACTCCCTGGCCACAGCAGAGAGCTGGCCTGGAAGAGGGGCAACCGGGACAGAATCCGGCGCCCCAACCGGGACTAGAACCCAGTGTGCAGGCGCTGCAAGGTGGAGGTTTAGCCTATTGAGCCACAGCGCCGGCCTGCTGCGTTTTCTAGGAAGCTGGATTGGAAGCAGAGCGGCCAGGACTCAAATCAGTGTTCCAATGTGGGACACCAGCTTACAAGCAGCAGCAACTTAGCCTGCCACAGTCTCAGCCCCAGGAACGAATATTTTGATTTTCAAATAGTAAAGATTTAATAACTTATCTTTTTTTTTTTTTTTAAATGATGCATTCATTTATTTGAAAGGCAGAGCAACACAGAGAGAGAAGTAGAGAGACAGAGATTTGCCATCTGCTATTTCACTCATCAAATGCCCACAACAACCAGGGTTGGGCCAGGCCAAAGCCAGGAACCAAGGAATTCAATCTGGGTCTCCCACATGGGTGGCAGGGACCCAAGTACTTGTACCATCTGCTGCTGCTTTCCTAGGTGCACTAGCAGTGAGCTGGATCTGTAGTGGAGCAGCTGGGATGCTGGCATTGCAGCCTGGTCCAAACAGCTGTGCCCACGTTTTAAATTTAGAGACAGTGTCTTGGGGCCAGCACTGTGGTATAATAGGCTAAGCCTCTGCCTGCAGCACCAGCATCCCATATGGGTGTTGCTGGTTCGTGACCTGGCCCTCCTCTACCAATCCAGCTCTTTGCTAATGGTCTTGGAAAGCTGTGGCAGATGGCCCAGATGTTTGGACCCCTGCACCTGAGAGGGAGACCCGGAAGCTGCTCCTGGCCCAGCTCCTTAGTGGCCATCTAGAGCATGAGCCAGTGGATGGAAGAACTTTCTCTTTCTCTCTCCTTCTCTCTCTCTCTAACTGTGCCTCTCAAATAAATAAATAAATAAATCTTTAAAAAACAAAAAAACGGAAAGCAACATCTTTCCCCCTGGTCTTCCTCTTCCTGCTCCCTGTCCAAAGGGGTGGTTGTGTTATGGGAGACCAGGAGCTCTGTCTGTAGTAGCAATGAGTGTTGGGGGCTGCCATAACCATACTGCTTCATTTTGGTTGAATTACCTACAATTTATTTATTTAGGTCTAGGCTTTTTTTTTGAGAGAGAGAGAGAGAGAGAGAAGGACATAGAGAATGAGAGAGACAGAGATTTCACACCCACTGATTTATTTCTCAAATGCTTGCAACAGCTGGAGCTGGGCTGGGCCAAAGCCAGGACCCAGAACTTAGGTCTCCCATGTAGGTGGTGGGGATGCAGGTACTTGAACTATAATTGCTACCTCCCAGGGTCTACATTAGCAGGAAGCTGGAGTCAGGAGCTGGAGACAGGACTCAAACCCAGTTTCTCCAGTGTGGGATATGAGTGTCCTGAACACTAAGCTAATCACACATCCTGTAGGCTTGTTTTTAAAGTGATTGGTGCCATTACACAGAATAGACACAAGACTAGTTTTGTTTAACAGCAATACTTCCAAGAACACAATGAACATGCTTTAAAGTATTAAAGTGTAGTAATCATAATTTTTTCAATTTTAACCAAAGTAATGCAACTAAAATGAATTCCGTGAAACTGCAGTTGCATGAAATAATGCTTTTGGTATCTTAGTAAGAAGAGTGGCATAGAATATACACACCTAATTACAGTCATGGTTTTCTTTC